AGATTTTTAAAAAGCCATTCAGATGAAGCAAAATGAAATGAACTTTAAAGGGCTAAAGGATTCAGATCTTCTAAGGGCCCCAAATGACAGGTAATTCAGGGGAAATCCTATTAATTAAAAACCACTGCTCTGTGAAACGGCTGCCTCTGCATCGGAGATGCTGACTGTGCCCGTGTGCGGTTCCTGTGTTGGATTCAGATAAGCATCAGCAGCAGAGGCCCGTCTGTTCAGGGAAGCCTGTTATTTCTGCTTCCTGAGATATTCAGGCCTCTGAAAGGTGAGCATCAGCTACAACATAGATTTGTTTCTTGCTCGATTAAGAAAAATAATGCAGACGGGGAAGTTATGATAATAAAATGCTGAACTTTGAAGGATTGTGTCAAATTCCTCTATTTTCTGACAGCTACTGAATTTACCTTTAACGAGGCAGTTGCTTCTGCTAGGGTTACGTGTGCCCGTGCATCCCAATTTTGAGACCTGGAGAAAATGGCATTGCTGACTGTGACCTCTGAAGCAGGGCACACCCCAACCAGTAGGAATCGCCCTGGGGAGTGGACGAGGTAACATCTAGAAATTGCTTAGCCGCTCCATTCAGCAAGCCTCCATTTAACCATGACAGCTGCCCCTGCGAGCCTGGGTTCCCTCGCCCAAGAGGGTTCTAAGGGATGAAAGGGAAGGAACCGGCGGAGGAAGGCCTGGAGGTGCTGAGGGTGAGGCGTGTGGAAGGTGCCGCATGAGCCAGGTGAGATGCCCGAGCACAGACCTCTCCCTTTGGTACAGGTGACCAATCCCAGACTCCATCCTGACCCTTTAGAGTATCGATCTTTGCCGTCCTTTATCCAAAACGGTATCAGAGATCCATGGCCCCTTTCCAAGGCCTAACCAACACTCCAATTTCCATTTTCCTTTCCACTCTTGGTTTGACATTTTTGTTTGCTTGTTCTTTAATATACCCACGCCAATCGATTTCCTTTTGGAAATAGACAAATGATCAAAATATGCCCCAGGGACCCGGAGCAGGTCATGGGGTGTTAGCACAGCAGTGCCGATTGTGTGGGGCCACGACCCGCAGTCTCCTCGCCACACGCCAAACATGGTCGGGTCTGAGGGTCCCGAGAGTGACATCATTTTTCTCTTTCCCTCTCTAACCAAGTTTCGTTGTTCAGCTGTGACCTCAAAACATTGCCTGTCCTCAGGCCGCCTGAGAGTCCACTCTGATATGTTCAGCATTAAAAATGGAGGGCTTGGTGAGTGTCCCACCAGAGGTGGGTGTGGCAAAAGGGAAGCTGCGCTGTTTTTCAGAAGCCGAGCCCAGGGGACCCAAGGGCGACCGTCAGAACACAGCAGAAGAGCTTGTGTTCTCGGGTGGCATGGGACATAGAGCCTCAGCTCCCTCAGCGGGTACCGTGCACCTGTCGGGTGTTGGAGCACGGTGTGGCCGTAACTGACTTGCCCAGGGCTGTGGTTCCATGTCTTGGTGACAGCCTCACCCTGAGTGGCTTTGGGAGTGTGTACAGCTGCTCAGTGTGGTACCACCTTTGTCATTTTCTCACTTCCTGAGAGATTCTCAGGTTTCATTGGATTTGAACTTATCTTGAAGTCTCTTTAGAAGTATTTTTATATGCTATTGGGGGTTGGATAGGGTTTGTGCTCCCCAAAGGTTCATGTCCTGGAAGTTTGGTCTCCAGAGTGGTCATGGTAAGAGCTGGTCATTAATCCCCTCAGAAGGGTTTCATGCTGGTCTTATGGAGCAAGTTAGTTCTTACAAGAGCAAGCTTGAATCCCTCTCTGGTTTCCTGTCTCACCATGTGATCTCTACTATACTATGTACTACACTGTGATGTTGCCAGGGGAACCCTCCCCAGAAACCAAACAGATGAGACCACCTAATCTTGGACTTTTAACCTCCAAAACTGTTAAGTAAATAAGGCTCTTTTCTTTGTGCAGTACCCAGCCTCAGGCATTTTCTTATAGTGACAGAAAATAGACTAATACACATGTGATTCTTTATTTTTTAGAACTTAGCCAGAAACACAATAAATTCTTTTTTAAAAAAATTAAGTGATCAAATGATTGTTATGCACAGAGCAATGTGGAACCCTGGTTGCTTTTCTTCTAGAAATACTTGCTGCAGTCTGGCTGGGCACAAATCACGAGCCACTGAAGCAGGAACAAACTTTATTTCCGAACTCCCATGAACGCCACGCACGTGACCTTCTCCCGGGACACACCACACCAACCAGAAAATCCCTCCTCCGGAAATCCCAACTCCCTCACTTCCCCAACCAATGGGAACTCTCCGGGAATCCCCTCGAGAATTCCAAAGTAGCAGCACGAGGCAGACAGCAGGGGTCTAAAATACAATTGAATACACAGCTTAACATAACCATTATCATCTCAATGGCTTGCTGGTCACCTCTCAACCACTCAGACTCTCGGCTATGGCTCTCAGCAATAATGACAAAAGTAAAGGAGTCCCATTATTAGAAATGCCAAGACCCAGAGATATGACTTGCCCAGGATCTGGGAGTATGAGGAACAATATGAGAATCAAATAGATGTGTGTTTATATGTTGATTCATGTCTTTAACTGTTTTCTGCTGCTATGACAAAATACCTGAGACCAGGTAATTATTTGACTCATGGTTCTAGATGCTAAAATGTCCGAGCACATGGCTCTGGCATCTGGTGGGAGCCTTCCTGCTGCATCGTAACATGGTGGAGGGCGTCATGTAGAGAAACAGTGCAACTATGCTAGCTCACGTCTTTCTTCCTTTTGTTCTAAAGCCACTAATGTCATCGTGGGAGTCCTACCCTCATGGGCTCCTCTAACAATAGTCACCTCACCAAGGTCCCATCTCCAAATACCATCCACATATGACTTTGGGGACTAACTTTCCAAATCATGAATGTTAGAGGATCACATTCAGGCCATTGCAACATGTTTAGAACGTGCTTAAAATAAACAAAAGTTCACTTTGCTCCCTCCCTTAAGAGAGGACCTCACACACTGCCTTTGCCATTGTGGTGGCTTGCAGCACTGCCGGCCTCATCGGGTGACAAGTCCCCCCAGCTGGTGTGCAACCAGGCTAAGAACCCCGACTGCAGGGCACCCCAAGGTGTCTTGCTCTGGTTGGCAGGGTCTTCAGAGCGGTGCACGTATAAAGATTAAGTTTCCCGTCACCCTTGATATGATTTCCACGACCAGGGGTGCTTAATGCTGATGGTGTGTGGGCCCCTCCCTTTGCCACCTACCCGTAGGACCACCCACTCTGAGAATACTCAAGGCTTGCCCTGCATCCTGGAGATCGATTGGTAGTTTACCTCAAAAGAAGAGGTGAGGAGTGGAGCCAAGAAATTGCCTCCTTTTTTTGTCTTTTTTGAACCAGAAAGGCATTTGTGTCTTGATAGAAATCGGTCTTAGGGAAAGTGCTGTGGCCTCGCCAACCAACTGGGGTTGTCCTCTGCGCCGTCACTGTGCAAGGGCAAAGGAAACACAGTCCCCTTCCCTAGGTTATTTCCAAAGGGTGCGCTAATAAATCACCAAGATGGCTCCTCTCTGAGAAGCCAAGTGTGTGGGTTTGTGAGCTCGAGAAAATAAGCCACTTACCAGGAGCACAGAGTGATGTCGGGGAGCCCCGCAGTCCCCCCCAGGCTGACGTGTGTGTTTCCTTGGGGTTTGAAGACTAGAGCAATGAGGTGTGCCCCCACTGGGAGGGTTGAGGGGCCTGTGGGGACACGGCATTGGTGTCCTGCTGGTAATGGCTCCACTTGTACATCAGAAATGACAGAAATGTCTTAGCTGTGTTCTCCATTTTTCTTGACTATGAAACAGGAAAAGCAAATTCATTTCACAGACTCTCAGACTCTAAAGCAGGATCACACATTCAAGATCACCTATTTACAAATAGGGATAAGGGGACCCGTGGGCAGAGGGTAGGTCAAGTAACTCGCATGGACACCTGGAGCAGCCCTGGGTCCACACCCTGCCTGCTTCATCACTGAAATCCCTACCATGGATCATAAAAAATTCAGAGGCATCTTTTGATGATAGGCCTATCATTGGCATTTAAAGAACACCAGACCCGTGTTGGGGGACAGTCTTGGGAAGCCGACTTCAAGGAGGACAATGAGGTCTTTAAGCACAAGGGCTCAGATGCCTTCAGACCCATGTGTGGAGCCCCCGGTGCATGCAGCGTGGGCCCTAGGACAGCTCCGCTGGTACAGTTCCTTATAGATGGCATTTCTGAATAAGATTTCTTTTTCAATAAGTCCATTTGAAAACTTCTATTGTAGAAAGAAAGAACTCAGAGGTGCTGATAAGAATACAGTTTTTCATCATCAGAAACAATAGGGTCTGAAGTTGCATTTCTCTTTTTCTCTCTTAGCTTTAATGGACTCACTGCTTCTGTTAGGAAGAATTGGAGGCACCCGAGTGGGTGGGGAGTGGTCCCCAAAGCCCCTCCCATTGGGTTTTCTCCACCCAGCAGGGTCTGGGGCAGATGACTTCTCCAGCCCTCACATACACAGGTGGAGGACCAAGGCTGGGTTGCTCACAGCTAAAGGTTATTTTGCCTGGCTCCCAGCAGAGTGCTACTTAGTCTTCCATTTTCTTTACCATGAACTCCCCCACTCCCCACCCCCAGGCAGGCACAGGGACACAGCCCAGCCCCTGGACATGAAAAGCAATGAACAAGTAACCGTGAAATTAAAACTGCCTGGGGAAAAGCCCCCTTTGGTTCGTTTTGTCTAAATCAACTCATTCTGGAAGCTTCCCCTGTCGTCCAGTGATTGTCGCCAGGGCTGATTTTCGTGGTGACACTGTCTGCTGTTTCCTTGGTGGCTCAGAGGGAAAGCCCTTAAGAGAGAAAGAAAAAAATAATAATTAGGAAATCAAGCAGATTTATTATTACTGAAACGTTGCTCTTAGAAAGGTGACACTTTTTGGTGTTAAGTGATTTTGAAACTACTAAGTACCTGTACCTCTCTGTCCCTTTCAGAATGCTGGAAGATGACCTTAAGCTAAGTAGCGATGAAGAGGAGGGTGAACAGGTAAGATGTTCTTGTCTGTTGCCGTCCTGTGGGTGGGACAGGGCTGCCACTCACTAGCCGGCTCTGCAGGACGTGAGTTGAGTGGCAGAGATGGGATTGTGCTTCTCTAGAAGGTTCCATTGATCGTGAGCCTCTATGCAGTTGGGCAAGTCTGTTGAAATACCTTGGCCTTAATTCCCCTTAAAACTTTAATTCTGTGATGTCCTGTGACAGGGAGACCAGCAACGAGTATATTTTTACAAGGAAACGGACCAGAATCAGGCTTCCCTGGGCAATCGAGCCCTTTTATCTGCCTTTCTCCCTTCCTCTCCCCACCCCCACCACCTTTTCTTTTCCTTTTTTTTTTTTTTTTTTCCTTTTCTTTCTCTTTTGGCAAAGCTAACCCAACCTTCTAGAGATCAAACACGTGACCTTAAGCTCATCGGCATGCAGCAGGCAAGCTGTAACATTAAATATTGAGCAGCTTTATACAGATATTATTAACATTGAGAAGAAGCAAATGTGGAGGTGAGCTAAAATGATGAATAAAAAATGATCACGCGCAGTCCGGGCTGTTTGTCTTAAATGATAAATGTGCTTGAAATATTCTCCCTCGGTGTTGATTTATCAGCTTGAGACATCCGTCAGGGGGGTTATAAATACTCTTCTGATCAGTCAGTTAAGGTGAAAAAATATCCACTCAGCATTCATCACTTCTACCCTGCATTTCAGAAAACGCTGGTGTTGTAAAGCAAGTTTGAAAACACCGGAGCCAGATTTCCCTACACTTCTGTTTCCTTTTTCTCATCACCTGGATTGCGTGTTGTCAAGTTTGGATAAACAGGATGCGTGGAAAGACAATTCCAGGAGTTTTTTTTTTTTTTAATAAGTCATTTTTACATGCAATACCAAATACATATGCCATTCAATTGATTTTAATGTAGCAAAGTAGATACAGAGGTACCGTGGAGTGCTGCATGGGTGATTCACTGTCTAGATAACAATACAAATAATGCAGAGAGAGCAAGCAAGAAGGAGGAGAAATGAGAGGAAAGGAAAGTTTCCAGGTATCTGAGCAGAATGTGGCCCCGGGGTCACCACTGTGGGGTCTTCTCCTTGCTCGGGGAAGCTGGGGCACCAGGGGTGTGAGAAGGGCTCTGTGAATCTGGAGATCAGTTTGGCAATCAGAGAACACCGCAGGGAGGGAAGGCTGGCAGGAGCAGGGAGGGCCACTGAAGGCTTTGCACTTGTGACAGATCAGTTCATTTATTTCAAGGTGTCTACACTAGGCAGTGAGACACCACAGCACTGTACTCTCAGCAGTTAGGTAACAGGTAATTTTGGTTTCTCATCTATCTGAATAAAAGCAGATGATTTGGGGGCTGGGGTCATGGCTCAGTAGTAGAGCTCTTGCCTGGCACCTGTGAGGCACTGGGTTCGATTCTCAACACCACATAAAAACCAATGAATAAAATAAAGGTCCATCAACAACTAAAAAATACATATTTTTTTAAAAAACTAGCAGATTGTTTCATCTCTTTAAGGCTCAGATAAGCACAGTAGGGATTAAGTTCTGTCAAAAGCGTAAATTATGTATGTTTTGTATTAGAAAAAATGATTCACAGACTATTGGATCTAGCAAACTTTTCTTAATTGGGAATAATTCTGGAGCCATCTCCAGGAAATATTTCCAATGAAAGCTCAATTTTAAAACACATACATTATCAGTGATGTGCTTATACACTTTCTCTAAAACAGCAAGAAGCTTTTGGCTATTGCTTTCCAATCTCCAGCCACTGATAATCTTGTGCTGTGAATATGCAAGTCAGGTCCTTGATTCTTGCTTATTTGTTCCCTTCCTATTTTTGCAATGAAAGGAACTGACAGGATGAATTATTTGTCTGCAGTAATCCCTATCTCGTAATCAAGACCCCAGACGGTGGTTCTGTGTGTGTAGTTTAAGTTAATTCTTCAGCACTAATTCTATTAAGTTGTCCTACTTTGGCCTATAATTATTTCCTAGTCTAATCACAAAATTGTAATTCCCTACCTTTAAAAAAGACTAATGATATGGAGTGGGTTTTTTTCCTCTCTCTTTCTCCAAGACCAAAGTAAGATTTTCCCCTGAAATAATGCAGCCTGCATACTTATGCAGCACACATATGCACACTTCTTCCTCTGTCATGGAAAGATGACTAAATGCTTACCATAAGTGATTTTTTTCCAGGTGTAATCAGAATTTTTCCCCTACCCCAAAGTCTTTTGAAAACATGCTGCTTACTTCCCTGCTCTGGTAAACATATATACAAAGATCCTTAACCTTTTCTTCCATGACTGCTGGTTGTCCTTGTGAATATCGGTCCAGCTGACCTGTAATAGCCGCTGTAATAAAGAGATTCCCACAAGAGCTCCAAGCGGCTACACCTGTTTGTCTTCCTGCAAAGATCTGGGGACTCCTAGTGTGTTTGGATGCTCCCATCTGACGCTGCCTCTTCCCCCAGTGCCCAGTGCTCTTGGAGATAAAGCAGACTGGGAATTGAAGCCATGTGGGCTTGGAAATGTTTAAAGCTTACAAATTTTATTTCCTTAATAGTTATACTGTTTCTTGGATTTCTAATGAGCTAATTAATCAGTTGTAATGATGTGTGCTCTTCAAGTAATTACTCTATCTGTGTCATTTAAATTGTCATGTTTACAGGTCTAGAGTTATTTATAGCATTTCTTTATTATCCTTTTGATGCATACAGATCTGTAGTACTAGCCCATTTCATTCCTGGTACTTATCATTTATCTTTCTTCTTTTTTCCTTTTTCTGTTTTGGTCAGTCTTACTAGAGATTATCCATTTTAAAAATAGTTTTTTGTTTCATTGATATTCTCTGTTTAGATAGATTTTTCAGTGTTTAATTTCAATGATTGATTATCTTTATTATTTCCCTCCTTTTTCCAGTTGATCCATTTCATGGGGAATGTTTAGATTTTATTTGTGTGCATGTGTGTGGTGCTGGGGATTGAACACAGGGCCTCACATATGCTAGGCAAGGCCTCTACCAGTAAGCTATCTCCCTAGCCCTGAAACTTTGTGTTTTTTTTAACTTAATCTAATCTAAGCTTTGATTATTGATTTGAGACATCCTCTTTTATAATGTAAGCATTTAGTGCTGCACATTTTAGTCTCAGCACCACTGTGGCTTTATCCCACCAATGTTGACATGTTGTGTTTTTATTGCCATTTAGTTCAATGAAACAACTTCTCTGATGTGTGGATCATTTAGAAGTGTGTTATTCAATGTCCAGCTGTTTATAGAGAGCTGCTTTAATCTTTTATTGATTTCTAGTTTGGTTCCATAATGGTCAGAGAACATACACTATATGACTTCAATTCACAAACTTGTTGAAGCTTTTTTATGATTCAAATTTGGCTTATATCAGTATGTTTTATGGGCACTTAGAAAAATGTGAACTCGGCTATTGTTGGGCTATTAATTGCATCCTATTTAATGTTGTTGAGTTTGATGTTATTGAGTTCTTATGTTTTCTGACTTTTTGTCTAGTTACTCTATCAGTTGTTCAGAATAGTGTTGAAGTCTCTGGCTTTATTTGTGGATTTATTTCTCCTTTCCATCCTATCAGTTTTTGCTTTACATATTTTCCATCTCTGTTAGTTGGTGCATATAAATATATAGGATTCTATATTTTGATAAATTGACTCTTTTATCATTATGTAGTGTTCCACCCTACCTCTGGTCATTTCTCTTTGCTCTTTGTTTTTTTTTTATATGTTAAGGCTCAAGTCTGCCCCCCTTTTTTTATATGTTCTTTATTTTTTCATTTTTTTTTTCTTTTTGCTATTTTTCTGTGGGTTTCCTGAACGTTTTGAGGAATATGATTTCATCTTCTCTGTAACGTTTTTGTGTATATCTCTTTTGTGTCCTTATTTGGCGGCTTGTCTAGGTATCATATTATATAGACATAACTTAGATCAGTACCTGGTGCTGTCATTTCATGTTGGTCTCCCTCAATGTCCTGTAATTACCTCCATCTCAGATTTTATAATAACAGATACCATGAGATCTAGTTTTCTATCTTCTCAACTTTGTGAGTGAAAAACTTGACCCTTATTCTGTATCTTATTCCTCCTTATCTCTCTAGAGCATACCATGGATGACTGGCTTCCACCAGGATAGATGAATCTTTCCAATACGGCATCCACACAACTGCTTTTATCTTCATACATCCTTACCCGTCTCCCCCCTGTACAAAAGGACACTGTCCTGCTCCTCCCCAAAGGCCATCCCATTTCCTCTTGTAATGTTATCTGGGGACTTGTTCTTGTGCTTTCTTACTTCCTACCTCCCCACCAGAACTGCTCCTCCGGAACCACCAGTGACCTCCATGGAGCCAAATGAATTGGGTTCTTCTCAGTCCCTACCCCTCTGGCTGTTTCTTCCCAGGATGCTTTGCTGGCTGCATGGTCTCTTCCCAGTGTTGAATGTTAAAGCCTTGTAATATTTATTCCCGACTTCTCTGTTTCTACTCTTTCTTGGTGATCTCATTCCTTCCCATGACCTTCAATTTTTATGTACTGGAAATTTTTAAAGTTATAGCCTCAGCTCAGAATTCTCTCCTGAACCTCAGACTTCCTTGACTTTTCCACTGGAATGTCTCACAAGCGTTTCAAATCAGACAGAGCTTCTGGTCTTTGCCACCCCACTCTGTGCAGACATACAAATATGTTCCTCTTGAGATCATTCCTATGTCTAACTAAAACTGGCATGGCCGGATGCCCAACGAGTCAAGCCTAGAAATCTAGGACCCATCTTGATGACTCCCTGTTTCTCACTCAAACATTCATTTAATCCTTAAAACCTCTAAATTCAGCCTCCAAAATTAAATATTAGTTTACTCACCTCTTTCCATCCTGGCTGGTCCAAACCAGTCTAATATAAACTACTATATTGCTGATCCCCACCCTCTATAATACAATCTTCCATCTCTTAAATGGGTGTCCCATTCCACCAG